CAGAAAAAACGTGGGGTGGGAAAAGCGGAGCTTTAGGAAGAGTCCCTCAGGTTGAGTCGATAAGCACACGTACCTTGTGGTCTTCAGTATTCGTTATCATAATCCCAATAGTCCCCCAGGTTCGAGTCCGAGAAATCGGCTAGACACCGGTCCACCTAGGATTCGACCTCCGATCCCTCGTCCAAGGGCCCCCAAGTATCTCCTTCTTCTCTAACCCTCTCGCTAGCAAAGGTAGGTGTGTCTCTCTCTCCCCCTTGCCCCAACACCCGTAGCACCAGTCTCCTCACCCCCAAATCCCCAACCGACCCAGTTTGAGAACCTCGCCCCCTTGCGGGAGTCGACCCTCACAAGGAACCCGTCGTTAGCCTGCGTGGGTCGAGAACCGAAGCCCCAAATCCTTCTCAAGTCACCCTCTCCCGTGCGGGAGTTAGTCCCGGGGTTGGTGCTCTCCACAACCCGTGCGGATCAAGAATATTAGGCGACCCCCTTGGGTCCCAAATGGACAGCTCCCCCGGACCCTCTCGGACCCTTCTCTCCTCTCTTCCCCTCGCTCCCTCCCTTTCTTCCCCTCGAGCTGACCCCCTTACACTATTTTCCCGAACGTTTCTTCTTCCCACCCCTTCGTTGCTCTTCACGCTCATCCAGACCCCTCAAGCAAACTGTACCCCCTCTTAATTTTTTAATTTTTAGAAATAAACACTCGCGAAATCAAGCACTCACAAAAAGGAACTGACCTGTTCACCCTTTGGAGGCCGGGAGCGGGAGCCAGAGTCGCAAGCGGGTCTGAACGTACCTGCAAAAAAAAATCAAGAAGACACCCCAAGTCCCCTGCACCCAAACAGCACCAACAAGCCTCCTCAAGCCCCAAGTAGCCCCCTTCCCACTGCTGCTGCCCAATAAACCGCTGCGCGGTCGCAAAAAGTCGTATATTAAAAGTCGTTGGCGATAGAAGACGTCGAAGATCCTAGGAAAAAATTGATGTCGTGCCGAAACATTGTCGTTGATGAAGTGATAACCTGATGCCGAACACTCTTGCCACTGCCTGTCACGCCACTTCCCCCTCACCTCACAGTTACTGAGCCGGTCGCGGCCGTGGGGGAAATGCTCATCCCCGACAATGGCGCCACTTTGTCGGGCAACCCCCCCCCTCCTTCGTCCGCCGGGCGCGGCCGCCCACCTCCCTCCTTGTA